TGATTACTCATTGATTTCATTGATGTCGTTGATGTCATCGATTAGTTATGTCTGGACTGTGGCAGAACACTTAAAGACAGTAATGATGTTCGCCTAGGCCCTGTCTCCTTGTCTCTTATATATACCTCTGCTCGCACATTACCATGGTTACACACGCGCATTTGCTTCACGAGTTTGCCAATGATCTGTAAGCCTAGAAAAGGTTACACTATAAAACATCGTATGCTTGAGAGGGAAAATGTTGTACGATTGATCATCAACAAGGCTCAGACGTTATAAGTAAAATAAGTTGTTTTGCTAATATAGTTTTTTTAACGGATGATGTTGCAGAACACTGCCACCTCCAAGCCTCCAACAGGTTAAACCAGAATTTGGAGTCACTGTGGTGTTCCACGTTTTGCTTGCATCGAATTTTAAAATGACGGAGGAAAGTTTGTTTATTCGTGCAAATGGTGTGGATTTAGGGGACTTTGACCTGAATTGTGTTGATATGATTGCAGCAGAGTAAGTACCATTTACAGGCAAACCTTTATAATTCAAACACCTCTATATTGCACTTCACTTGGTCCCAAAGAAACCAGAATTCATTTGATCTCTACCTCTGTAATACCGTGACCTCCCGCACAATACGGACACTCATCTAAATAATAAATGAATATTATAGTAACAATAGATATCCCACAATCCTCTGCGCTGTACTGAAATTATCATGTTTCCCTCCTTTGTGCACATTTTATCCTACGACATTACTTGTTTGTGAGCGAACCCACTCTCCCAGCCCCGCCATGACGCGGTGTCAGTCCTTCATGCACATGAATATACCGTTGTCCACACTCGTGGACAGCACCCATTTTCACCCCTCCATATTTCACCTTGTATATTCATGTGTATTGAAGGTACTTGGAATATACTACTGTGGCCCTTTGATGTCCGTATTAGAGGTTTAATTACACTATAAAAGAACTAGAATGTTAATTACTCTATCATCTCAAATGAGAAGTTTAAATTGTGCAGCTTGAGACAAACGTTTTACTAATTGCAGGGAGAAAAAGGAAAAAAGGCCATGTGTGGGAGGTTAACATGGAGACAAGTATTAAAACAGAGAAGCATTAAGCAGAGCAAGATTTTAAAATTATCTTGTTTAGGCTAGTATGTCTTTAACGCTGGCCAAATTTGCCAGGCCGTTTTTCCAGCTCTGTGACGCAGAACAGATTTAGCGTGCGTACTGAGCTACACAGTCTGACCGCCATTGTTATAAACTTCTCGAGATCAATTCCCTCTCATCGCATTCCACCAGCTCCTATCTAACAGTAAACATGAGGTCGACAATTGCATATTGAAAGCAATCTCATGGCAATAGAGAACGCAAAAACGCCCCACTGTCCACGCAATTGCAGTTTTCATTATACTTTGTTTCTCTTTAAAATGCAGAAGTGATGAAAGCCAAGACAAAGACAAACTGACGCTTTTTCGTGGTCAGTTCACAGTAAGTCTTGATCGGGCTCGCAACGGCACTTTCTACAAATACGTGGTGGTCAAAAAAGGAAAGGTTCACTGGGAGCAATTACCCGAGTTTCCACCAAAGTACGGCCAGAAGAGTATCGTCGACCGGTTTCTTAAAATCCCCGACAAGCATATTAAACAGGGTGGTAAGTAATTAACTTTACGGTCTTGCTTTATGAATCACTGGTTGTCAGAGGAAACCACACCATCGATAAGGCGATCTTTCTTGATGTCACCGTCGTGTACACGTATCCGCTCAATTTGTTTTAAGAAGTGTCGCGATGATTATTTTTGCGTGTAGAGAGCACAAGTCGCCTACCCTTGCCAGTTTAGTGGAGGGGGATGGAGCGACTGTCCACACATTCTCTAAAATGAAAGCCATGCCATGCCATGATCTCACAACGTAGAATAGTTACAATAATACAATAAGATTTATTAGGTTCCCCTAGATCAAGGCTGTGCTCTAAGAATTCTAGGGAGCCCATGTAGGCTAGGGTGCCCACAAGTCAAACTCAGTATCCCGAACGGAAAGAAAAATTCAAAATTAATTAATTGATTAATTAATTATAATTATCTAATAACATTATTAATTAATATATGATAACCGATTGACCCTCAAATAAAAATATCTTGCATCGTTTCTAGGGCATTTATCCTATTAATGTATTTTTTTGTAATACTGTCGTCAAAAGTCCACAAAGAAAGACAAAATTTACACCTTTTTTTGAGTTAAAATGGTTGTTATATGTAGAAAAATTAAGTCCTTTTTCAATTCCCTTTATGGATGCGCTTCTGATAATTTAGTTCACATTCTCCTTCAATTAGGGACTTTTCATTCACATTGTACAAACCACAAGAACTAAGGTGACTTTTTGTTGACGCTATACGAAGAATACGAGGCAACTGCTGTCCGTATCACTGCAGGCCAGTGTTAAACGTACGCATCGAACCGAGCCATTGGACGACCGATGTTTTGACTTCACAGATGGATTTAAACATTCTGAATTGAGCCATTTTGCCTTGCAAACTTCAATACAACACAAGAAATCAAAAGGGAAAGAAATTATTGTGAGACTGTTTTCATCTCTAAGTAAATCTCAGAAAGGAGGTCGCCCGGCCGGGCGATTGGGTATGTTTTTCTTGTCGCCCGAAGATGGAAGCCGGTCGCCTCAGGCGACCGGGCGCTGCTAGAGCACAGCCTTGCAGTAGATGATCTTCTTACATAATTTAAAAAAATATTGCTGTTAAAAATTACAATAATTGGTTTAATAAAAATCACTAATGTTACTACAAATATGGAAAAACGACGCGGAATCAATAACTTATTGGTTTGGATAAGAATTACTTAATGCACTACAACTATTAATAAAATGACACAGAGTCAATAAACTACTTTTTGGACCAGTTGCCCAGTAGAACGAATTTGAAATTCTTTTGAAGGAAGGAACAGATGGACAGAACAACTGATTTGTGCTTTTCCTGGAATTATGAAGCACGCTGGAAGTTTGGAAATCGCGAAAGAGGCTTCCTGAGTGCTTTCCAAACTTCCCATGCACATCATAACTCGATGATGCACGGTAAAGCATGAATCAGGTGTTTGATAACATTACCAATAGACACTATTAAAATGAAACAAAATTGGCTTTGTTCACATCACGAGCGTGCATCACTGGATTATGATGCACGCTTGCGCATACTAAATTTGACACGGCGACCTTGCTTGTTATGCTATAAAAGCTGCTAACTCTGTCATAAAAGGACATTTAAAAAAGGTCAGCGAACCGGTAGTTCATACCCGCAGTAAGGTGGTACTGAAACGCAATTAAGGTGGCCGAACACTGTTTTCGCGCGCGCTTTTGCTGATGCAAAACATGTCTTCAATAGAGCGATCATTTTATTCAGTTACTCAATACCCGCACTATATGCGCTATTTTTCTCCATTATTGAACGCAGTGTACTGATGCCTTTAGTCTTTTATTACAAAGCTATGTTAGAAAAGGTAATGACGCAAAGAACCCAGCAACTCTCAGCTTTTTCTTTGTTACCGAAAGAACCCAGTTAAATGCAGCACATGCGCACTTGCTCGAAAAATTGAGACCGATTGCTTTTGCAGAAACTTGCCGATTTCTAACGATCCAGTCGTTAGAATTTCAAGAAATTTGGCAAAAAAATAATTC